GCTTTAGGGCTTCGGAGTTGGGGGTTGAGCTTCTTGGGATATCAAGTTCAGGCTAGCCCAAGCCCTCTGCTCCTTGGGCTCAGACGTACGGAAGCCCAAAGAGCGAACGAAGCTCCAAGGTGCTAAGATTGTAGAGACCTGAGCCCCAAGCCCTAAGCCCTAAACCCTAATCCCTAATCCCAAAGGGTCCGACATGAAAAGACTACCGAGCCGATGTCCCAACCCTCAAAGGCCCACCCTTCAGTTCAGCCCTCCGCCCCGCCCGGGGGCCCTCGCGGAGTCTCGGAAGCAGAGAAAGGGTCTGCTGCCAATGCCTCGGAGAAGGGCTTGTCGGATAGTCGGTTTTGTGATGCTTCCTGGGTGAAGGGTTTCAGTCTGGGGTGTGTGGGGTGGAATTTGGCCTCGAAGGTTGGGGTTTAAAGGGAGTTTCAAGGTATGTCGCAGCTCCATCCACATGCCATAGGATTGGAAGAACAGGCCACGTCTACGTTCAGTGCTTAGGCTTCCAAGGTGGCTTCACCTTCCGTGCCGAGGCACAGTGCCACACCTAAAGCCGCCAGCACAGCATTCCTGGTCGGTCAGGTCAGGCTTCGTTTCTTTAGCATCGTGTTTGCTCAGAAGTCTATGAGGCTGTCAGTCACACTGAGACTGAAGCAACTCTCCGTGACGACAGGAGTTTTGGCTGACCACGCAGTACACCACCATCTGCTGCCATGCCACGAAACTCGCCTTTAAAGCCGAGGCCCTCCATGTAAAGCTCTTTATTATGCTCTTTCTCCACCACTTTAAAAGCCCTGAAGCATTCCATGCCAAAGCTCTGCGCCACGGCATCCGGGCGCAGGCAGCGGCTCCTTGAAAACTCACAAAGAGCCGGGAGCTCGGGCTTGGGGACGAGGCGAGGCAAAAAGAGCTGAAGTACCGACAGCTGGTTCTTCAGAGTATCTGCTTCAGTCCATGTCCGTGCTGCAGCCTCGAATGCATCTGTTTCAGCACAAGTTTCAGCTGAGGTGCAGCATTGCCGGCAGCATCGCAAGCGCAGCCTCACGGTTCAGGACACTTCTCCAAATCCAAACAATCATTTCGCCTTGTCCTGGCAACTTAATAAGTCGCGACGCCGGATTGACTTTGCCTGTACTGTCCGTCACCTTCATCATCTTCCGAAATCCGCTCAAAAACCTTCGTTTTCAGCCAACTTGACGTCACTGTCTCTTTTTACCGCTGATCCTCACTGGTATAGCAACAATGCAATATCAGGAGACACCTCGAGAGTTGAGAGTATCCTCCGTCTCCTGCCACAACGTGCTCAAGCACCGAATCGCTGTGCAAAACGTTTGTCGGTCAGAGTCATTGTGGCAGCCAGCTTTTCCATCTGACTGTTCTGGTGCAGCACATGCAAGCGATGATGCAGGCGCCGGATGCTGTAGCCGAGCACAGCAGGAAGATAGACAAACATGCGGCAAATATCGTTGTCACAAAAGAAGCCCTGCAGCAGTTGATGCTTAACTGATAGATTGGCCCGGATGCTGTAGCCCAAAACTTGAGGATTGCGAGCAACGACTTTGGCCACCTGCTCTCGGCTCAGCCCAACATCCTC